GGACCCATACGTACCTGAATGCCTATCATTGAAAATGGAATGGGCCAGTATCTTTAGACACAGAAGCTTGCAATCTGGCTGACAGTGTGGTCGCGGTTCGCGAGGGAGTGTGTGGTTCCAATGCATTGAACTTCAAGCCCCTGGGTAGCGATTGTGGCCAGAGGACCTGAACCTGAACTATCCAATCTGCCGCCCATGTCAAGCATGATCAAGGTTGAATCCCCTCGATAATAGATGGTGTATTGTCAAAGTGATTGTGTGGTCAGTTGCAGCCTGCCTCCATGAAATCTGCAACTGCAAGCTGTTGATCTCAAGTGGCAATCACAGTCGGGATATGAGCTTTGCTGGCCAAGAAGTTGGATTGCTACTGTGGTAGACAATGTAATACTGGTCTTGCCTGGGGCGAGGAAGTCTGATTGTGCTAACTGTTTTAGACAATATAGTACCGGACCCACCGGTCTTGCCTGCGGCTAGTACAGCCTTGGGTCAGGCTTGGGTAGTTAGGGCCCTGGGAGGCCAGGGCCTAGCCAAAGCTGAACAACCAGGCTCAGCAGCTAGCTCGCTCACTTGAATAGCCGTAGTCGTGGCAGGATCGCAGGCACCTGCCCAGTTTGGTCTGCAGTAAGAACAGGCTTGCGCTTGGCTAGGGCAGTTAGGGCCCTTGTGGGTCAGGCCCTTAAACCACCAGTACCTCGCTCAGCTATTGAATCCGAGCCTCCCAGCACGCTGCGCGCCAAGTCCTGCCGAACCGCCCTCGCAATTTTCTTTTTCGTTTTGCCTGCAGCCTCCAGCCAATGCGGTCCGGCAGGCCGAAGCCCAAATGGCGCGGCGCGTATACGGGAAGCGCCGCGGCCGATAGCTGGGCCAGGTACTGGTGGTTTAAGCTAACCAACTGTCTTCATCGAATCATAATAATGGTGTGTGTGTGTGTGTGTGTGTGTGTGTGTGTGTGTGTGTGTGTGTGTGAGAGAGAGAGAGAGAGAGAGAATTGTGGTAAGGGTACGTAATCGTACAGACGGTACAGGCAAGTACAATAGGTGGACAACTGAATTGGGGTGAAAGTAGAGGCCCAGGTGCTCAGGGTATATAATCGAACAGTCGAGTTCAGCAAGTGCGGAAGCGAATGGATTCGTTCACTTTAAGATCCGGCGCTGCTGGGAATGAGATGCGAAAAGGGCATGTTTGAGACATAGTTATTGTCTATGTCAACTGTCTGATATTCTTAGCACTAAGAATCTGTAGAGTTGTCAAAAGGGGTGCTTTGTTTGGTTTTCTGTATGCCTGTCTCTGCAAAAGGCCTGTAGCCTGGCAGATCTATAATCTGCATTGGGCAGGGACTTAGCTGAGTAGGGAGAGATGCCAAACCCAATGTCTAGGACTCTAGGCCACGTGGATAGATTGTTTTCATCTATCCAGTTGGCTTTCTATTGCTGGATTTTTTTGAGTCTTTTGAAAATCTATCATATATTTTTGTTGGAAAGTAAATTATTGCCTTTTAGTAGGTTTTTACTTGAACCGCCATTACATTTCCCGGTCGTTCTTCTCCGAACAGCTGGCAGTGCACGCATGCCGCAACTTTCGGGGGTTGGCTGCTGGAGCAAAAAGGCTGGCGGCACAAGCCAAAAGGAGGCCTGTGCCGCTTTGCTTTTTTTGGCGAACAGGGCATTTTGAGCCTCGGGGAAAAGAATCTCAGAAGTAGTGGTGGTTAGAGGAGTAGTTTTATGCATGGCAAGCACTATAGCTCCAATCGTGGCCACTTAGAAAATATAAGACCGGAACCAGAAACAGGACAAAAAAAAGAAAAACGGTATTAAAGTATACTTCCTAAATGGTCTTGGGATAATTGGTGGAAAGCCCTAGGGAGGGGCCCAGCGTTCGCTACCCAATCTTGGCCACCAGATCGCCAGATTTCTCTCATTCGATGGCCTGTGTTGCCCGTGGGCGGCTTTTTCCACGCAGGAAAGGTTTGGGTGCCCTCTCTCAAAAAGGTTTTGCCGTGGGCACTTTCCACCAACTTGAAATTTCCCAATGATCTTGCTCCTTGCTACAGCCATGCCAGCACTTTACACCAAGTTCAGTTGTGGCACAAACGAGTTTGAAAAGGGCAACAAAGTCACACGTGGGCAACAAACTCGTGCGGGTTCAAAAGATCAACAAAAACATCGTACCCGCGCGCCGAGTTTGGAAAGGGCAACAAAATCACACGCGGGCCACAGCCATTATTACCGATATCGCCCTTTTCAAACTCCACAGTGTCCACACCCGAATTCTTTTACGTTTTTTCAAAAGTAAGCCACATTCTTCTCTCAATTCCACCTCACACTACCTACCAGGCTACCACTACTCCTAATTATAGTCCTACAGGGAATCCCATAGCAGCCAGAACCGTGTTCACAAGAGAACATGTGGGGGCTGATCCTGACGTGCAGGTGGGCGATACCGGCCAGGGGACAGCCGGTAGCATCAGGGACCATGCCAACAGGACCAACCCCTGTGCCTCCCCTCAGGTCCCCTCCCCTACTAACATCTGCAGAGTGCTCAATGCCAATCGGAGGATCCAGTGGTCTATCTCTAGGTGGTGGGCGCCAAACATGCCCCAGGAGAACAAAACCCACAATACCGCCCCTACCCTCTCAAGGATCACACCTCCCACCTTGTATAACCCTCGCAGGGAGGGTCTCCTACCCTGAAGGAGATAATTCAATCAGCACCTATGAGCCCAAGATAATTCAATCAGCAGATTCAGCACCTATAAGCCCAAATCCTACAATATCACATCTTGAGAATCGATTGTAACCAGTTTTTGGAAATCCTCTAAGTGACGTCAAAAATTGAATTAAAATAAAAATGATCCCAAACTTATGTGCACAAATATGAAAACAACGTCAGATTTGGAATTAGATCAAAGATGGATAAACGTAGGACATCAATTCTACTTGGAGAAAATCAATTTGTAACCCTTTGTGATTCAACATTGATCAATCATTCATTGGGATCAGAGCAAAACTCTGATTTCCGAATTTCAGATTAGGAATCTTGCTTAGAAATACAAATGTAAGATTAACAATCCTGTTCAGAAAATACGAAGTTCAGATTAGTGATCTTGGTCAGAACAGAAGAAACGGATTTCAGATTAGGGATCAACTATATCCAGAAAACACATATGATCAGACGAAGTACAATCATAAAAAAAAAAATCATTCAAAAACCACCTCTGAAAAAAATTTCAGGGTGCGTCGTCATCAGAACGCTTCATTGTCAGAAAAATCCAGATCATGTTTTACGACAGAAACGGGATTTTATAGGCTTGTAATCAGACGGAAATTAGCACCTGAACCATCAGTCTTGTCACCTAGGAAAAACAGCGGACAATCTACATAATAATTCCTTTCCAACCCTAATTCCCAACCTCCACCCCCTCCTTCATCGGCTTCAGAAGCATCTCAGCTGCTCACGGCCTGCACCGCATCTAACCAAAAAGCTGAACAATGAAGATTGTCGGACCGTGGCGAACACTTACCTCAATACAGCCACGTAGTGAGCCCAAACCGTCGAGCCTATCGACGACCCCTCGCTGGCAGTCCGGAGGGAGAAAGAACATCCCTGGTGGCAGGAATCTGCTCGATCCGCCATCTCTCATAGCCCGCCGTTAGAATCACCACCAAGAACCTGCCACTCCCTGCCATCACTCGCCTCACACTTTCCCCCGCCACTTCACCTGATTACTCCCGCACCGTACTGACGATCCGTACTGACGAGTCGTGAGCCCCGCGAGGTGCCTCCACCCACCCCTGCCCCCTGCCTCATCATCCTCCATCACACCCTGTCACCCTCAGCCCCGCCCTCTTCCCCTGTGCCTCACCGCTCGTTGCTGCTCCCCATCACCGCTCGTCACCGCATGTGGGAAGGACGTCACCTGACTTCTCCGTGGCGCACCGGCAGGATCGTTCCGGCGGGGTGCAGCGCTCCCGGCCGCGCCACGCCCTCGGATCTGGATTTCTGGATATTGCCAAGACAGAATTTGGGTCTTGGTGCGGGCATGGTTTCAGTGGCGAGATCTGTCAGTATTGGGATAGTTGAGTATCATCCGTCTTTCTCAGGGTTTTTTTTTTCCTCAACCGGACTGCTGTTTATTATGATTATAATGAATGTGCGGAGTGGAGGTAAAGTGAGTGTGCGAAGTACATGACTCCGAGGTAACGTGAGTGTGCGAAGTACATGGAGGTAAAGTGAGTGTGCGTCTATGTGTGTGTCGCATGTATGTGTGTCGCACTTAGTCAACAGAAATCTGTCCATATCCATTGAGGGTTAAAGTGAATGCAAGGTTGGCCATGTTTGTTGTTCAAGTGCCAAGCGCCCGTACACCTGTCTGCGCCAAAGGGCAGGCTTGAACCAACCTGCATTCAACAGCCAAAGACAATTGTAAGTTCGTATATCAAACGGCTCACTTCCACCAATCACAGAACTACAATCAACCGATATCATCCCAAAAAAAACAAAGGTCCGACTGTCCTACCTGCGCCGATGTCTAAGCACTGCTGTTCCTCGTTGGCTGGAAAACAGCACGCATGGATAGCACACACGAGGATCTCCACCAACTAAAACATTGTGACCTCACCTCATGTGGTCCAGAAATCTTAGCCCCTCAGAATCTGACCAACAAAAGCCCTTTGACTCTGAGGCCTTCCGTGAACACTCTGCAGGCCAGGCCTTGCACAATTGTGTGTGTGTGTGTGTGTTTTAGGAAGAAGCTCAAACCGAAGCGTTGTGCAAAGCCAAAACATTGACTCTTTTATTTTTTCTGGTTTCTTGCTGATTTCTGTATGTCTCTGGAGGTGGTTTTTCATCAACACTGGCTGTTTGTTGAGTCTGATTTATATTGACTTGTTTTTTGCTTGTCATCGTGGGTGAACTGGATGTGTGTTTTTGGAACTGGGTGTTGGCTGTGATGCGTGGCCATTGACTAAAATCATGTGCATGACTTGTCACCCCTTATAAAGCGGAAGGCATCGAGGTTGTTGAGGTCAGGAGGACCAAAAATGGAAATGGAGAATGGATGGGCGAAAAAGAGAGAGCAGTGGATATTAATTGCCCAAATGCAAATGGTCTTGCATGTGAGATCATGAGAGTAATCTTTGAGTTCGGACTCTCAGTCACAAAAGGAGGTGAGTTGTAACACAGTTGTTCTCCTCTTTCTTCGTTTTCTGCGCCGTCTTCTTAATGAGGTGTAGCGTTTGGTCATTTGTTCCATCTCTCCTTTGCATTACTGTTTTGCCTTCTTGAAAGTGCGTTGTTTTGTAATCCACAAATTTAGATGTGTAATGTTGGATATCCAGTTCATTCGCACAAAGGCTACAACTCAGTTCAATAAACAACCCAAGGATTTTTGGGAAATTGAGTGTGGGGACACAGACGGAACTGAAAGCCCCCACGTGGTTCCAGTTTTAGTGAGGAAGGACCATGGTGGCACGTGAAAGAAATGGCGAGTGCTACTTTCAAATGTTCACTCAATCCAAAAAGTATCTTTGCTTTTTCATGCGAGCTACTCGTCGTCTTTTCGAACGGCAGGGCAGGGGTACACATGTGGGATCTCGCTTTCGAATGGAGTCCCGACGCTGTTCGCTACAGAGTTCGGAATCCGACGTGGATGGTCTCAGCCTGGTCGCTCTTTCTATGTGTTCGTCATCACCACGTGTCCAGTAGCGGAACCCCTTCTCCCGATAACGCTCGGCGCAGCGGCAATCGCTGCATAGAGTGTTAGGCCAGTGGGCTGCTACTCTCATCCAAGGGATGACGGTCAACTCGTTAAAAGGCGATAGCAACAAGTACAAAGGGAAGTGAGCATTGATAATGACAAAGCCAGTGCCTACAAATCCTGAGCACCTTGTCTCAGGTGGAAAATAATAGTGTCCGCCGATCTTGGCGATGGCTTCCTGTACGTCCCACTCTCTTACACGTGTCGTTTCCTCATTAGACGGGAATGGCCGCTATGCGAATGTGGGGAGTCGGCACCCAGTCGGGTCGGAATAATCAGTCCACATGGCATAAGCAAATTCTGAGTACGTGAGTCTACCCAATCGACTGTTCAATCACAAAAGTAATCAGTCACGTTACTATGGGCTTTAATGCATTTCATCCATCTTGCGAACCGATCAAAAAGAAAAGTGTGAGTTCGATCCAATCACAGCAGCAATCATCATTCATCAAGGGAGCGACAAGCATGCATTCCTATAATTTAGCTTACTTAGCCTAATCAATGCGCATGTGTAACACATCTTACAAACACAAATCCTCAGTTGTTTGAGAGACACATAGCGACCGAAAAAAAAAACGATAAGATCTCGTGGAGCTTACTGGTCCCTTTGAGTTCAATGATGCTCGTTCGTTGAGATCCGATTGAATTCAATAGGGTGAGCGAGATCAAGGAAATCTAGAGTCATTTTGGCATTCATCGGACAAATAAAAGCAAGGGAAGAAGAGAGAGAGAGCGAGAGAGAGAGAGACGTAGCTTGACCGGAGAAGAGAACAGAGGAGAGATGAAGAGACCTGTGGTCATACAGATAATCTTGAGGGGGAGCACCCAGCTATTCGTCGTGGACTTAACTTCTTAGAACCAAAGGAAGAAGAATCTGAAAATTAAGGCGCACCGACCTTCTGCTCTTTGATAATGGCCCCTGGCCACCCAACCTATGAAACACCCGCGGACGCGTCCGCGGGGCTGATCTCGGATGGCGGCCGCACTTGATCGCCACGACGGACTGTGGGATCTAGGCGAGCCGAGTCGAGTCTGCATCAGCGGGGTGACGATCGCAGTGGCGGAAGTTAGCACGCGACGACCGGGATCGTCGGTGCGGGTATGAGGATTGAAGTTGAGTGGATGATTGGCCCGGGGCCATATTGGAATTTTACGGTGAATGCGCCGTCATGATTGCGGATCATTCTTTCTGGTGTGAGTTCATGGCTGTGAAGCCGAATGCTCTCTTGTCGAACTCTGGTGTCTTCTGTCTCGGCTTTGCTCGTCTATCCCCCCCCATCTCTCTCTCTCCCTCTCTCTCTCTCTCTCTCTCTCTCTCTCTCTGACTTGAATGACGATGTGTTGTGGGTTTGTCTCTCTTGTGAACCGAGGCGAACTCTCGAGAGTTCTCGCGCGGAAGAACTTCTTCTGGATCTCTTCCATTAGTTTCCTGGGTAATCCCCAGATGTCGATAACTTAATTCTCTTGTCTTGTGAACGGTGGATTACCCCCCCCCCCCCCCCGATTCATCTTTGACGTGTGCATTATTGTCATTTTCGCGCCTTCCACAGTGGATGTATGTATAGAGATGCTTGTATTTTTGCGTTGATTAGACCCAGAGCTCAACGGAATTTTGTTTGAGAATGCAAGAGTGTTTAGATCTGTCATTCCAAACGCACTGCGCATGCCATCTGCCTTATGCTGCATGACGTCAACAGACAGTCTGTGGGGCAGCCTTGAAAAAGCTAGGCGCCTCGTGTTTTGTTGATCTGGTCTGCTGAAACTAAGTCGCGGGTTGATCCCTCGGAACTCCACCCCAATTAATGCATGATTGTGTGGGTTCCGTAAGCTGCTTCTCTCGTGTCTAAAGGAAGGAAGGTACTTATTAGTTTTTTTTTGTGCTTTTTGATGACATCTCGAGGATTTGTGTAGGCTCCGTCTGATTGATTGATATGTGGACTAACGGTCGTTCCTCGATCGGGCGCTAGCCTTCTGTATCTCCCTCGCCAACGCGCCCCTTCCCTTACAACGAGGAAAGGACACGTGTATGCGAGTGGGACGTACGGGAAGCTATCGCACGAATCGGCGGACAATATTACTTCCCTCCCGAAAATCGTTGTTTTGGATTTGTGGATGCGGGCTTTGTCATTATCGACACGCACTTTCCACCCTACTCAGTATTGTTGCCATTTAACGAGTCGATCGTCATTCCGTGGACGGCAGTGGCGCCCCATTGGCCTCGAACCCTGTGCACGGAGTGTCAACGTTTCGATCGCTACGAATCGAAGAGCTTCCACTACCAGATACAGAAGAGCCACGCGGCTGAGACCATCCACGTCGAACTCGGAATTGGGCAGCGAACGACGTCAGGAATTAATACGGAACGCTACGGATCGAAGAGCTTCCACTACCAAATACGGAGTGAAGACGAGCACAAGGAAAGAGCCACGCGGCTGAGACCATCCAGGTTGGACTCGGAATTGGGCAGCGAACGACGTCGGGAATTAATATGGAAACGGGATACGCGGAGTGTACCGAAGCCCTTCCGCTCTAAACGAAGATCCATAGCACGGTGGGAAGCTCGACAATACTTTTTGGATTGAATTTGGATTTTTCTCTTTTCGTGTCGTGCTCGCGCGCGCATTTCGTGACGCGCGAAAGCAACCGACTTACTTCATCGGGCCAACACGGGGGATTTCAGTTCTGTCTGTGTCCCCACACTCAATTTTCCAAAAATCCTTGGCACACCCCATCTTGCTGTGTTTCTGGGCCTTCATTTCGTACCTTTAGCACTCTGAACAAAAGATAACACAGGGCGTGAGGTTGCGCGTCACATTCAGGCGATGTCGATTGCATCTAGTGTGGACGAACGCCCTCGTTCTAACAATGTCGATGTCGACTACGGCCAGTGTCGATCCCTCGTCTTCTCTGTTGGAGGCCTTCGATAGAGGTCGGCCATTAACTATAGAGGATACACATGTAGAACACGAGGACCACATCAAGCAAAATTGCGACTAGGAGCAGCAGTGGCAAGCTTCAATAGAGGTTGGCCATCAACGACTTGTATGGCAGGGCCATAATTCCACGACGACGGTAAAGGTCCGTCGAACGGTGACAATGAAGGGAGCAGATGGTAGACACTGCGAGCAGGGACGTGGCCTGCATGGTGGCTCGTGGAGTGGTCCACTAGTTGTCGTCCATTCGTGATGGCGCCCTTCTTTGTAGAACTCCTGTTGCGTGTGCATCCAGACAGCTTGTCGAGGATGCAGACGTGGAAGACGATTAGAAGGACAAACAAAATGACTATCAAGAGTAGCAGCGGCAGCCTTCGAAAGACGTCGGCCATGAACGACACCGTAGGGAAAGGCAGTAACTACACGACGCCGGTACACCTCCACCAAATGGTGACAAAGAGGGCAGCAAACGACAGAGCTATGCATCCCACAAATGCCCTTTAACATTTTACGTCGCTGAGTACATTGGGGAATCGAAAGATGGGTCGACTAAAATATTCAATTTTGCCGACCGTTGAAGCCCTTCCCGTTTGGCATCAGACACTGCAAGGGAGAACACCAGTTGAAGACGTTCACGGCGGCCGCCCGACCACCAACGATTATCGTTGGCGTAAGGATCCTGGAGGCTGAACAATGATGACCCAAGATGTCCGGGTGGTGGCCGGTAGGTACTCCAATGGACCAGCCGACGAAAATTTCTTGTCGACGATGGGTGCCCTCGCCACTCCGGTTATCACGGAACCTTGACCTCCTAGGGACTGCGGGAGGTACCTTGGGGAAGGCCACAAAATGGTTGTAGCCCGAGGACGCCCCGAGGGTTCCCGAAGAAAATGTTTTCACTTTTCATTTTCCTTTTTACCCCTGAGGATAGGTGGAATGATAATTTTATCAGTGGCTTCATTTGCCGAGTGTCTAACGAGCCCCATAGTACCGATATATAAGAACCTCACAATATTCCTCCTTAAACCACCAGCTATCGGCCGCGGCGCTTTCCCGTTAACGCGCCGCGCCTTTAGGGCTTCGGGGTACCGGACCTCAATGGGTGGAAGCGCCAGCCAAAACAATTTTGAAACGGTACCCCGACGCTTTGGCGAAAATCGGCGCGCACGGGCATTCCAGGCTCGCATCGATAGTTGGGCCAAGTACTGGTGGTTTAATTTTCCATGCATAAATCTTCAGAGAATCAAGATCTGCACGGTGAATGGGATTTCTCCCTAACCAGCTCAGCTGCCCGATTGACGAGAGACATCCCGTCTTAAGCTGCTCCCCTCAATTAGGTGTCAACCCCACCCTACCCCCCCCCCCCCCCCCCGCAAAAAGGGAAAAAAAAAAGACATTGGGAAACAACATTTTCATAGCTGTTTCCGGATGTGTTGGGCATGCAGAGGGCGGCCGTGCCTTCCGTTTTTTTTTTGGA